TTCCTTCCGTCGCTTCCATTATCTGATTCTTGAAGAGTATATCTCTTGAGTTGAATATCTTATTCTCCGGTATATTGTATTCATTCATCAAAAACTGTTTCTTCTCGTCGTTACCGACCGTCACATATATATCGCATTCATAGTGTTTGCAGATATTGATAGCCGACTGCCCCACACCTCCCGCAGCCGAGTGTATTAAAATGCTTTCACCTGTTATACAGAAATGTAATTACTAATCATGTTTACATGTCTTATGTATAACATTATAAATAACCGTAATGTTTAATGATAATAAAATTGCATACAAACCTTTCCTAAGTCTTCCGGCTTTAATCAATCCATAATAAGCTGTACTATAAGTACTCAATATAGAGACGGCATCGTTCATAGACCAGTGGTCAGGGATTTTAGCGTAAGTATGAGTCGCCGCGTATACCGATGTCGCGAAACAACGGCCCGATTCCATACCCATAACCCGTTCCCCCGTTTCGGCCAAACGACCGGCGAATTCACCACCAATTGTACAGTCCATGAATACAACCTCAGGACCCGATGGGATACGACCTGTTTTTATGTAATTATTATTAGTTACCACTAACTTTTACCATCATTATTAATTGCATACCTGTGGCCAACATAACGTCGTGGAACGACAATCCGGTGCTATAAATGTTGATTTTATTTTTGGTCACTTTCTGTCCATTGAAATCATATGATTCGCGTTTTGGTGAAAGAGATCTCAAATCATACCATTCTTCTGGACGCTCTAGAGCCCAAACTGGGTTTAAATCCTTTATGAGCATGGAAACAACTTTATCACTGTCTTTGGGTAGTTTTATGTGTCTATAACTTCCAAGTTTTCCCCCTTTGATAACATTCGCTACCAAATCATTGGCCAATATATCAGAATAGGGTTTAGTAGTGAAGTCAATGTTAGTGTCAGTATTGGAGTCCATATTGAATATATATCTGAAGTTCTCTCCTCCGGGTTCTAATCGCATACTATTAACTAACCCTACGATTCCATTAATACCCGAGTCGTCGGCCATAAGCCATACGTTATCGGTTTGATTGTCCGCATCCTTTGCGGTAATCAACTTTTCCTGCAATACTCCAAACCATTTCTCGTAATCTGTAGTAACTCTAATGACATTACTTTTATCGGGTATTTCCGACTCATTCACCATTTGTCTAAACAATAGGCCAACGCTTCCAATGGTATCATATTTAGTACAAATCAATTTGAGTCCAATTTCATTGCAAATTGTGATAAACTCTTTGATCCGATTCTCGAGAAACACATTATTATAAATCGCTTTTCCGTTTAACGAATTGAACGCAATCTCCGGTTCCGTAAATTTATATCTGAAGACCGATAATAGGAATCCATTGGTTTGAAGGCAATCATAGATGTCCTGAACAAATGATTGCATATCCTTTTGCCACAAGTCTTGTGAGTCTCGCATTATAACCAAATGCGACGGTTTTAGAGATATATCGTCTTTCGGGTCCCATTCTGTGGCCCTATTCTTATACATATCATTGCAATCCTGTTTTGATTTGACCACAAGTTTATAGTCGATATCGTATGGCATAATACGGAAGAGAGACATAATCTGATCCACTTCTTTGGCCAAAATACCAGACGAAAGATTAATTTCAGTCACTTTTATCTCTTTGATTGTCACAAAGTTTTCGCACACGATATCAACCAGAGTTCTAATCATGTGCTCATTCTTCTGGATCTGATTTATCAGATCTTTATTGAGATCATATTCGGCACCGCTTTCTATATCTTTTAATACTTTCATCACTTCTTTACTGTTTTTCATATTCTTGTTTTCGTCGACAACTTCTGTCAGTATTTTATCAATTCTTTGTTGAGATCATATTCGGCACCGCTTTCTATATCTTTTAATACTTTCATCACTTCTTTACTGTTTTTCATATTCTTGTTTTCGTCGACAACTTCTGTCAGTATTTTATCAAATATACGAAACAATACATGATTTTCGTTATTTGTTGTCCTATACTCTTGTATCACATCATCGCTAATGTTTTGGTAATTAAAATCGCATTTAATGTCTTTATATCCAATTAGTTTAATCTTAGCGGCCATTGCTTTACACACCTGTTTGTTTAAAAGTAAAAACACATTAAACGTCAATCACGTCCTCATACAAAACGCGCCAACACTTACCTCAATGTATTCATTGGCCACCCGTTTATCACTGGCGTCAACGGCTTCGAGGTCTTCATTGGGGAAGAACTCATACGTGTCTAACACCAGATCCGTACCGTCGCTACGTCTGGGTATAGGGAAGGCCATCAGGTCCTCCACTTCCAAGCCGTGTGCGACGAGTCGTTTGGACTTTGCGTTGAAATGAAAGGGCATATCAGCCGAGAAGACGGAGAAACGCTCTTTCTTGCGGGCAATCTCTGCATCTAATAAGATCTTGGCTTCGGTGAGGATCTCCTCGTCTATCTCAACAATGCCCAAATGTGCGTCGGGATCAGCCACCTCTCCCCCAACCGCTACCACCAGTCCAACGTCCGCCACAGCGGACTGTTCGATGTCTGTAGCCGTTTGCTCTACATTTTTTATCAAATATACGAAACAACACATGATTTTCGTTATTTGTTGTCCTATACTCTTGTATCACATCATCGCTAATGTTTTGGTAATTAAAATCGCATTTAATGTCTTTATATCCAATTAGTTTAATCTTAGCGGCCATTGCTTTACACACCTGTTTATTAAAGAGTAAAAACACATTAAACGTCAATCACGTCCTCAAACAAAACGCGCCAACACTTACCTCAATGTATTCATTGGCCACCCGTTTATCACTGGCGTCAACGGCTTCGAGGTCTTCATTGGGGAAGAACTCATATGTGTCTAACACCAGATCCGTGCCGTCGCTACGTCTGGGTATAGGGAAGGCCATCAGGTCCTCCACTTCTAAGCCGTGAGCGACCAGTCGTTTGGACTTTGCGTTGAAATGAAAGGGCATATCAGCCGAGAAGACGGAGAAGCGCTCTTTCTTGCGGGCAATCTCTGCATCTAATAAGATCTTGGCTTCGGTGAGAATCTCCTCGTCTATCTCAACAATGCCCAAATGTGCGTCGGGATCAGCCACCTCTCCCCCAACCGCTACCACCAGTCCAACGTCCGCCACAGCGGACTGTTCGATGTCTGTAGCCGTTTGCTCTACATTTCGGTTCCGATTGACGTTCTCGAAGAACACACGCGGGTCCACACGTATGGCCCGAATCATCACCGGAACCATGAGTTTACGGAAAGGAGCGGCGAATACCATTGACTGCAACATTGCGTCCAAATATGTCACAAAATTTCCGTCCCATTCATTGATGCCATAAATGTCGCGGAAATCGTTGGTCTGAATGCGTTTCAGGCGTTGAAAGTTTGGTCCGTAGTCGAGGCCCAGGACTCCCAACTCCTTATAGATGTCTTTCCTGTCGAGTGAGTACTGAGTACTGGCCATCAGTTTCTGTCTCTCGAGTATAGCGTTAGGCGTGAGTAACACCTCGTCGTCCGGAGTGCGCACTTTGCCCACAACACACACGTTATCGTTCTCTAACACACAGAACTCGTCTGTGGTTTGGGATGGAGTGAATGTGTAGAAAAAAGATGCGTTTGATTGATACAAAAATAGTGTTAAAATTGATAATTAGATTCAAAATAATGATTGCAAACAATACCAGTGTTGGGAAAATATTTGACTGTTAGGATAGTTCCGTTGGCATCATTTAAGAATACGGCGCGTTTGAGCTGAACGTTCTCAAAAATAACCGGCAACTGATACCACAGCTTACCCCGACTGGTGGCCAGTTTACGCCACGCGAGCATTAAATAGCCGGTGGCCGGGAAGAGAGCGTTGCCATCGACGGCGTGATCAAGGTAGAATGCGTGACCTTGTAGCATTGAAGGATTGACCGGGAAATTGTAATCACCGGCTGTGAGTCGACAATATTTTTGCGGATAGAGTTTGTGCTCGAACTTCCGGCTGTGATCCCAACGCATGAGCGAACTGATGGACTGTGTGTTTCGGGCGACCGGCCACTCAACCACTGGGTATAGCTTTTCAATGGACAGATTGACTCCCGATTCGTATAGAGTGGCCAATCCAGCCATAAATGTGTCCAAATTAGTGTCGTTTGCGTTTCTCTTGATTAATGATACGTACGTCGAGTTGTCCAGCGTTTCGGACACCACTTTAGGGAATATAGAGTGCGGACCCAACTCTAGTATAATAGCATCTGTGGGCAGATCTTTGAGTTTGTCTATGAAGAGCACGGGATTCATCAGATTGTAGACGAAATACTCGGCCGAAGCGTATTTCAAGGCCTCATCGCTGAGATCGGTAGACATGAGTGAAGTGGACACCCATTTCCGGGACCGGAGTCTCGGGTTTGGTATGTATTTCTTAATGGCTTCAGTCATAGGCTTTGCAGATGTGATCAGATATTGTGAATGATATGGGATTTCACTGCTCTCTAACTGTCGCACAAATACTGCCTTTTCTTCCAATCGTTTGATCATTTCTGACATCTCTTTCTTTGGACCTAAATATTAAATTAAAAATAATTTCAGAATAAAATTACAAAGTTAATTACATATATATGGAAATTTCCTTATATTACAATAATATATTATTTCAAAATATTATAATATTTAGTTTTTCACTATTAATTGATCAACTAATTTAATTCACCTGAAATGACTACATTATCTTTTGAATTATGACACGCGAGATAACAACCGCCGGGCGTTACTTTTTTGGCCTCAGCCTTAGACAGCCCGACGACAGCCATCAGTCCTTTAGCTATTTTCTTATCATTTTCAGTGACGGCTCCCCTGAAGTACGTGACGACCATTGCATCCCTTGTGCTGAGACACCCGTCAGCGTAAGCACAGGCTATCTCTCCAAACGAGTGGCCAATTATACCGTCGGGTGTGATGTCCAGCGCTTTCATCACTTCAAACAACGCTATCTCTATAGCAGTCGTCGAACAATACTTTGCAGTCATTGTAGACATCGATGTCTTGTCGTCCGATAATAACATGTATTTTAAGTCAATCTTAAACTCGTGTAGTATTTGATGGCATTCTTCCACTTTATCGGCGAATATCTTGATAGGCATTAAAGCCTTAGCCATTGCCGGCCACTGACCGCCCAAACCCGGGAATACGATCCAAAGGGGTGGAAGTGTTTTGTCTTTCATTACAGATATCTGTTTCTTATAATTGTATTTCACTTCACTTTTACCATCATTTGTCTCATTGATTATAATTGATCCTAAATTTTGTGATAATAAGAGTTAATTAATTATAATACCATTGAATGTGAATTGAATACCTCTAACGGGAAATCCGGTTGAGTTAACATTAGGCGTGTATTTCATGGATCGACACAATAGAGTGACGAACTCTTTGGTCACTTTCTTCGGCGAACTTTCAATGAAATTCATGATATGTTTGACCGACTCTTGGGTTCGGCCGCAGATCAACACCAATCGGGCCATCGGTTCGCACAGTTTATGGCTGTCACCGCTCGGCACCCGTGGGTTGGGCTCAACGATAACGTGATCGTTCACTCCTCCGATACCGAAGTTGTTCACTGCAGCCAAACCTTATGTAAGATATCATTTAAAGTACTTTACATTACAAATACTGTAATAAATGTCTAGGCAGCAACTCATACCCGGCTTATATTTAAGCTTTTGTGTGACCGGCAATAATGGCGGACAGTATTGTCGGAACTCTTGCTTAAGATTCTTGAGATTAATGTTCGGAGGAATGCATTCATTTTCAAAAGCGATCATCACTTTAATGAGTGACG